GAAAGTCTCTACATATGATGATTTCTGTTAGCCACGTCTGCTCGATTTTGTTTCGTTTGGTCATTCATTAGCTCTTTTTCAAGAAACTGGAATTGCTGGAAAAAAATTAACAGATTCTCCTCTTTCTCTATTTTTGTAACGAATAGTAATTTCTGTTACTTCAAAACTCACTGCTTGCAGGCCTCGGTATCAATGCGTACGATCTGTCGGTTGATATGCTGGATGTTCACGCCGATCGAAACACTTTCCATCGTTTCGATAAATTTAACACCAAATATAATCCTGTTGGTGAGAGCACACTACGTGAAATATTCATCAAAACCGATAACTACGTCGGAGGAAAGTATTTCGCTGAAGTGCTAAAAGTAAGACAGCTTTTTTAATTAGCTTGCAAAGTTAACAGCCAAAAAGTTGAGCAGTAAACTCGACATCCTTAAAGTAACGTGCGAACGCTTGCGCCATTGGCACTCATCAGTTTTCTCTGGATAATCGTACGCTACTGAATGAATAACTAACTATTCGTACTGATACAAATTACCATTTGAAAAATCCGGATTGACGCATATTGTTGATCAAATCGTGCAAACAGTTTTGTGTTTCAAATTCATGGATTTGGATATACGTGCATAGTGGTTGGGAAATTTGGATAGAATAAATTACCCGTTGACCTTTGCTATAATATATATAGCTAGGAAAGTAATATTGACGGATATATATTATGTTACTATTCAAATCATAATTTTTGCAACACTAGGCATATACATACATACATACATACATACATACATACATACATACATACATACATACATACATACATACGTACATACATACATACATACATACATACATACATACATACATACATACATACATACATACAATAATAAGTTATACATACATACACACATACATACATACATACATACATACGTACATACATACATACATGCATACATACATACATATATGTAATATTACAGTTCAAGAGTATTGGTGGCATTACCAAGAATATCAAGACCGCCCAAACAATCGATGTAGAAAACATAATATTAGAAATTAAAAAACGTCTTCACGCCTACCCTTTCGGAGCAGAAGTTATGTGCTGTTATACGTCTATCAGAAATTAATGGGGAAAAAGTTTAAATAACAGATCGATATGGATATCGCCGTTGATTGGGTATAGTTTTAAGTGTTCAGAATTAGTTCTTTTTCTACAGGAAGTATTGTCCGACTTGGAAGATAGCAAATATCAGCATGCGGAACCACGTCTATCGATCTATGGTCATAACAAGGGTGAATGGGATGCACTGGCCAAATGGGCGATCAGTAATGATGTATACTCGATAAATGCACGATGGCTCGTACAGATTCCTCGATTATAGTTCGTTTTTTCTTAAATACATTAATTATCACTTATTTTAAGCTTTAACAGCATTTGTGTTTTGCTGCTTAAAGAAGGGAGGGCATAATTTTTACAATTTTGGGGCTTTTTTTGCTGCTAAGATTGCTGCGGGTCGAGCAGTACTTGAAAGACTGTTGAAAACAGTTTGATTTTGGCTTGCTATTCCTCGCAGTAACAAGTTGTTCCCAAAGCAGCGAACCCTTATCGTATGATTTTCTTAGCTAAAAGTAGGAAAACAAACATCCGTCTGACTGGAAACGACGCTGTCAAACTGTTCCTTCGCCGTTTGGCAGTGTTATTAATCCTTTGGCTGGTGAAGTGGCGCTGCTCTCGTGCTGAAGGTCAAAGATTTCAACTCTGCCTGTAGAAAATCCAGTTCTTTTTCGACATATTCATTCGTTTCATTAGTGAATCGGTTAAATTTTTTTGTGCATTTCTGCCATGTGATGCAAAAAACACCTTTTCGGACAAACTTTGCCGCAACAAAAAATATGTTTTATTCGTAAAAGTAGCTTCAGCATAAAAATCGAGGAAATCCCTTATTCCAGTGATGTTTATCGAGCAAAGAAAATGGTGAAAAATTTCGATGAAATGCTTGACAATATCTTTACACCATTATTTGAAGCAACAAACGATCCGGATTCACATCCGGATTTGTTCCGATTCTTGCAGCAAATTTCCGGCATCGATTCAGTGGATGATGAAAGCAAAGCCGAATATATACAGGTTCATTTATTAACGGCATCCTAAACAGATATAAATTTGCAAGTTTGTTGCTAGTCCTGGTCAGGAAAAACGCGCGGCGGTTGATTTGAAATAGTAGTTTCGATAATAATTATTATTTGGCTGTTATTATTACACTATTGATAGCTATTATAGTTGTTATCATAAATTGAATAACAATAGAACGACAGTGACAAAAGTAATAACAACAATAATAACAGTGATAATGATGGCGATGATAGTATTATTAATAGTAATAATAACAATAACAGCAGCAGCATCAACAAAAATCATTTAATAGTTACAAGACGTTTTTGGCCTGTGTTTTTTACTGCCATATAACTTTTTTTTCGCTGTTCTTAAACCGTTTGACTTATTTCGTTACATCTGAAAAAAGGCAATTCAAATTCCTGTCAGTTTTATCAATCTGCTTGCTGAATTATCTTACATGATGCTTCATTAATCCGATATTTTTTGAATCCCAAAAAACAAAATTGAAAATGGTGGAGCGCTTTTTTTTTTGGTTTTTGTTTGATCAGTTTTGCTGTCAACTTATTAAATCCTGTTTTGAAGTATATTTAGCTTGGAACAACTGTACTGCAAGCCGGTAGCAGGCAGTTTTTATTTCCTTTGACCAATGCTTCATCTCCTAATGACCAGTCGTCTGCTAACGCTCCTGACGCTCGTATTGTTTCTTGAAAGGATTATTAGCCTAGCTGTTCTTCCAACAGAAATATTCAACAAATCACATGAAAATTAATATAACAAAACACACACTGCAAAAACAAACTTCATTCATTGTATTTATTGGGATTTTGGAAAGTGAGGGTCCAGCAGTTTGTAGTTTGAGACAGAATCTTCGCAAATAATGGAAATTTTAAAAAGGCAGTTTCGTTCATTGTATTATGTTGCAGTTTGATCGTTCAACACCCGAGCCATGCCACTATTCGGATACCGAAAATCCGCCCTATAATTATTACTTATTTTATATGTACGCTAATTTGGTGGCGCTCAATGCATTCAGACGGTCGGTTTGGCTTTTTATTGTAACATAATTTTGATTAGTCGGCTTATCAAGTGCTGTAGTCTTCAGTATTTCATTGAGATACACCTAGTGCTTGGCCGTTTGTTATTGTACCATTTGCTGTCAAAAGCCAAAATTTCCTCCGTATTCATTTACTGAAAGAAGCGGAAGCACTGGGAAAATAGCCGGAGTGGCAGCAAATGTCAAAAGCAGTTATCTTCTGGGCAGAGGCTGCGGGCAGTTTCTTCTTTCGAGAGTTGCTTACAAGCATGTTGATGACGGGCTTGTCTTCCAGGCATATGCCAGTTATCAGTATACCACCAAAACGGATGAAAAAATTTTGGGGGGTTGAGTCCTCGATTTTTTTGTAGTGGCAATGCTACTTCTTCTTGTGCGTTGCCCACTGCCCTTGTTTGATGTATATTTTTTGATCTTGTTATTTTTGATATTTATGTTTTTGTTAAAGTAGAGTTGTTTCAGGGCACGTGGTCTTAATACTTTTTCGTTACGCCCACATTGTGGTGAAGCGGGGCATGTCAATCATCTTGTCACGGGTTATTTAACATCCGAAAGTATTGCCCATGGTCTTTTGCTTCGAAAAGTTCGTTCTTTCTAAAGCCATTATTAGTTTTCCTAGTTATTTTAAACTGTTAAAGAATAAGAATTTTTGATTTCCATAAGTACTATAGTTAAAATCATAATATTTCTGTCTTTTTGCAGTCTGTTTGTTTCATAGGATTGTTGCGGAATTGATTGACTGAGCAAAATTTTGGGGAAAAGAATACATTTACACCCGAGCACTTTAAAAAGGGATGTATATTTAGAAAAATATGCAGATATTTTTAAATTCTGTTTGATAAAAGATTAATATAGTTTTATGTAATATAATTCTCTTCATGATGGATAAGTGGCTGTACTGGTGATTCCCACTCCTACTCGCATCCATCACTCTGTCTGTGTTTTTAGCTAGGGATCACTCACAGTTCTGCTGTCGGAATAACAAATCGTGTATGATGTTTCGGTTTTGTTTTTGCAGGTGCCGGTTCTGCAGTATCTATTTTACCTGTCACAAATTGGGATTGCTATGTCACCGCTGAGTAACAATTCGTTGTTCATCAGTTACCATCGTAATCCTCTTCCGGATTTTCATATGAAAGGACTGAATGTATCGCTTTCAACAGATGACCCGTTGCAATTTCATTTCACCAAAGTAAATTTTCATTGTTTTTAATATATTTTCGCCTTTTTGCTGAAAAATGGCCAATTCTCGATTCTATTAATAGGACAGCCAATTCTTCGATTGATTCGTTTCTTTCATTTGTTACGCTGCTTGTCGGGGAGTCTAAATTTTCATCAGTTCGCTTCTAAGTAACCAGCGAAAGAAAAAGGCATCGACAGTCTTGCCAGCAGACGGCTTCTGTTGACATTTGTAAACATTTGAATTACTTCCGAGGAGTGCTTCCAAATTTCTCAGAGAGAATGAATGTAGAGAGAGTTTTAGCTTATTTTATCTTTTTTAATGGATCAATGTGGGCAAAGTAGCAACGGAGGAGTGTTTTCGCCGGAATAGGGATTTGGAACGTTAACTTTCGGAGTGAATTTGCTCCATTACGCAGAAGCTTGAGGGGCGTAGAAGGAAGAGGAAACCAACTGAGCTGGAGAATATTCGTCAAATCCGACGAGATGTGGGGAGACGGATTTTTGAATCATTTTTTGTCGTTTTTTAAGATACAGCAGAAGTTTTCTTTTCATGAAACGAATAAAAATTGCATGTTGTTGATCAGCAGATCCTCTATCCATCGCATATTAGTTAAAAAAAAAAAAACGCTATGTCTAGGAAGCGTTGATGGAAGAGTACAGTATCGCTGCGCAGGTGTGGAAGCTCAGTAGCTGTGATATGTGTGAGTTAGCTCGAAACAGTGTGTTACAAAGCGGCTTCGAAGATAAAGTTAGTTTTTTTAATTTTTCCCTTACTTTATACGCAAAGATTGCTTTTTGTATAAGCATGTACACACTGTGTTCCTGGGACTTGTTTTAGTGAAATTTTCAGCAAATTTGTCTTATGTCAGTTACGAGAGATGGTAGAGTTTTGAAGTTTATTAGCAATGCTTAGCTGCTGTTGTATGGAATAGTAGAGTAGAAGGATTCGACTTAAATGTCATGTACAAAAAGACATTTTACGATGCAGTCTCTGTGTTTCATCCCTTAGCTGTAAACACACCGGACTATGTGCATGCGGGTAGGGGTGGGAATCGTCAATACAGCCTCCTACCCGCCATGTATTGAAGGAACATGTAACTATTTTGCAAGACAGAGACGTGAAAGAAGGCATCAGCTATGGTTATTCTTGTCCAAGGACACCAGCGAGGAAATCGGCCGTTTTTTGTTAGCTAATTTACGTGGAGTATTTAAAGGGAGGCAGAAAGGAAGAGTCATAATGTAAAGCTATTTCCGTTGTATTTTGCACCATTCCTCTTATTTAAGTTTCAGTGTATGTGTTAATCAGGATGAGAGTATGATTTTTAAGTTTAGGTGAAAGTCCATTGGCTTGGACCGCATTACAAAGAGGAAGGTGTACTGGGGAATGATGTATCGCGTACCAATGTTCCGGATATACGCGTTTCATTTCGGCATGAAGCATTGGTGGACGAATTGTGCAATTTGTTCCGAACACGGGACTTCCCTGATCTTGACCATATTGCTGAAGATCTTGCTGATTCTCTGACCATTTAAATTGTTTTTAAAAAATAAAAAAAGTTTTTTTTTGAATTTTCCTTTTTTTGCAAAATAAAACAGTATTTAAACGTTTTTGAAAGTTTTAGA